ATAATATGGATGCACATCTCTCAGTAAATCATAAGCATCACATATTCAGCCAAGTCATGGTATAAATAATATTTTACCTTTGAAAATGTATTAAAAGAAACCTGGGGGAGCCAGTTTGAATGGGACTGATGCAGCTGATGACATTGTCAAGTATTGTTATCTATAGTTTACAGGGGCTGTGCTGAAGTTTGTCAGTAGAGTAGATGTTGGATCATCACTCAGTACAAGTACAGCTGATCCACAGCTTCAGCCTGTACACACAGCCAGAGATGTACAATGGAACAGTTGCTGCTCCACCAAATGGCCCAGAAGATTGGCCCCCAGTCTTATCACACCCAAGGAGGACTGAGTTAGTGTGCACAGGTCCATTCAAACCACCACTGGATTTTTCTACAGGCAGGTACAGGAGGGTCCAATAGCAGAATTTTGCTTAGGGCCGCAGGGAGGTCAGTACCGGCTCTGATTCTGTTACAGACCTTCAGTTCATGTTTGCCTTTTTATTAACCGTCACCACGATTGTTGAACTTTAACCGTGTTGTGGTTTGCATGTGGAGGAATTGTAGAGAAAATTGAAGATAAACCAGGTTTTTGTAGAATTGTCCAATAGGGACATTTTTGTCTGCTGATACGGTCAAAAAAACTAAACACTAGAGGCCAACCGATTTATCGTTTTGTAGATATTATCGGCCGATATATGCTACCTGCATCCGCGTTTATAACAGCCGATATGACTATTAAAAATCAGAAACAGAGAGTCGGATCCTTCCCTCATGTCATGAGTGTTGCATAGTTTGCCCAGCAGAGGGCGCGCTCTTAACAAGCACCACAGAATAAAACACCAGCTGACTGCAGTCTGAGGAACTCCTGGTAGCTCAGTGTTCCTGGTGAGTTGGTCTTTTGTCACTACATGACTGAAATATTAATAAAAACAGCCCTCATCACTTTTCCTCTTCTGAGACCAGACTTGCTAACCCTCCCGTTTTTCAGGCTCAGCAGTGTTCTTGCGACCGATCCTCTCATTTCTCTCTCATTTATTACTCCTAAATATTTTCTAACATTGCCAACAGCAGATAACGCTGCCTGAAACAAAGCTAATGCCGTGATTGTCAGTGGAGGAGGCTAACTTTAGTGTTCAGTTACCAGAGGGGACTTACGAATAAATGTGAGCTGAACAAGTATCTAACACACAGTAGCAGCTCCTCGTTGTAGACAGTCATGTAGTATTAGATTAAATCAAGGGAAGCGTTTCCTCTGCGTCACTGTATCATATATAATTATTTGCCTGTATCATTATTATGATAGCACTGACATGAGAGGCGATATATGGTATTATTGTTATTTTTAGTAGTAGTACTATATTGGTATTTAATTTAATGTTCATTAGTAGTAGTACTCTATAATTTATAATAAATCCGATATTTTATAAATGTTTTCTGTAGTTTTATACCATTTGACTCAAAACATTAATATATTTTGTTGTACTTTTGTTCAAAGTACTATTGCTAACAAGAAAAGTTTATTTTTAAACTGTATGTATGTCACGGTATCTTGGTGAAGTCTCAACATAACAAATGTCAGGGATGATCTTTGTTTATGTTATGCGTTTCTTTAAATAAAGAGGAAAAAGAATATCGGCTATCGGACATAAAAATCCCATATCGGTCGGGCTCTACAAAACACCACTACCAACTACCCCCCAGTTTTTAAACGCCAGGGAGTCAGAGCCGTGGTTGTTGAGAGAAAGTTAGTACTGCTGCTCAACATTCATGGTTTCTGCATTCATTTGATGGCGAGGAAAACTTCTATCTAATAGTTACTAACAACATTTTCCACTACAGCAGACAGTCAAAGGTCAACGGCAGCATACTGTATGTCAAAGCAGCCTCAGCAGCTACACAGTCAATAACATTGAGGTCAAGCATTAAATCTAGAGAGAGAGCAGAGATCTGACCTGTGATCAGTTCATCGCCCGAGAGAGAGAGACTCCAGTCTGCAGAGTAGCTCACTGATAAACCACAGAATTATATTTGGCTTAAAGCTCAAACGTTTTTCAAGCGTCAGAGTACAGCAGCAGTAATTACAGGCACATTATGCACTCAGCTGTCGCTAAGAGGGTGGAAGTCTTTGGTTACTTTGATTCAGCTGGACAAAAAACCCACACCTCCATGTGCTGCTGAGAGCTGCTTTACTTTGCAGGAAGTATTACATTTAGATCAATAAATAATGATGATTTACAGATAAAAAACAAAGTAAAGCAAGTGTTGAAGAGGAGACGGGAGATACAGTAGGTGCATGAAAGACTCCTCCTCCGGCTGCAGCTGAAAATACGTGCAGGAAATACATGAAAGTGAAACATGAAGCTAACCCTCCCTGTTTCTAATCCTCAGGTCCAAAACACAGATAGGAAATGTCCCGGCTGAGTCTTTGTTGTTGCAGTACATCTGTTGGCCGCGTCTAAATGTAGATATTGATCGCTTTATGCAACAGAGTGAAAGTTGAGAGGCAGGAGAGTGGGAGTCAGAGAGGCCGAGACCCTTCAGCTGTGAATCACAGCGAACAAACACAAGAAGGAGCCCAAAAAAGATTCACTGCTGCCTGCTGCTGTGTGAGTCCCAGTTAAAGGGTGTATGTGTGTGTAGGTGTGCGTAAAGCTTCACCTGCTCATCTATTTTGAAAGAAGCACCCCTTCAAACACCCACGCACCCCCTCCCACCAGATGAAGCCGACTGCAGAAACACAACAAACCCACCGCACAGTCCACACGACGGCGTCCTGAACACTGACAGCAACATGAATTACACTTTGTGAATGTTGTAGCAGTTGAAGGGTACTCTCGAGAGGGTACTCTTCACTTCGGCAGAAAATTAAATGTTTGTTCATCCTGTGGTGAGATTTCAACCAGCAGCTCATGGAAGAAACGTTTCAGCTGTGCAGGAGTGAGTCAGTCTAAAGATGACGTCTTTGTAACATATGTTAAAATGGACAGAATTATCAATAAATATCCAGATAATGTAAATTGAATGGGCACGGTTTTTACACTTTGACAGCCTCGTTGGTGATGCATATTGTGCGAGACGAGAGAGAGTTCACTGAGGTCATGTGTCATCCAGGTCACAGCTGACCGACGAGGGTTTAAATCAAGAGCAACTGGACTCAAGGACGTTTTGTCTCTCATCCAAGAGGCTTCTTCAGTTTAGTTCAGGATAGTTTACCGAGCGGTTCCACACAAAACTAAATGGTACTTTACAGTTTCACGGCGGAAGCGAAAGGGAGGAACTTAGGCCCTCTCTACGCACTTACACACTTATGGGTATTCACTGTTTATTACAGTAGGTCAACCCAGCTAAAACTAATGTAGTCTACTTGCAATTAATCCTCCCTTCATGAAGGTAAAAGGTTTCAGAGAGCTGCTGTGTTGCTATTAGCTCTTATTTGTATTTACTGCTGCTCTTCCTAGTATGTATGGTCAGTTGTAGATCTCTTGATGTATTTGATGCTTTGTTGATGCTTGTATGTTGTTTCTCAAATGTAAGTCGCTTTTATACAAAGCGACTTACATTTGAGAAACAACAATGCCAAATGTCTGCCAAATGAGTAAATGTAAATGTAAATGTAAATGTGCTGCATTAGACTGACAGGTGTTTCTGTTAATTTGTCCATCCCATTTCAATGAGGGTAGACTAAATAACAGAAAAACTACATATGTACAGAGATAATACAAAGACCTGCAGTGGAAAGCTCTGGAAAAAGAGGACCTTGAGATCAGATGGTGCATGAGAATTATCACCAAATGTACTATATTTTAGTATTATAGTTTTAATAGATTATAGTATAATATATATATATATATTTTTTTTTATATACACCTCATTGACATATACTTTTGTTTTTGTCCCTATGTACACGAAAGGCATATTTCTCTCAAATATTATTCACAAATCTGTCAAAATCTGTGTTAGTGAGCAGTTCTCCTTTGCCAAAATGTGCAGTTTCACTGTATTGGGTGTGCCAAACGCCACCGAATGTGAGCATTTACCCACTCGAGTTGGTTACGACGACAAACTGCCGTCAGGTCGAGACCCCGATGAGGACAACGAGCATGCAGATGAGTTTCCCTGAGACGTTCCTGACAGTTTGTGCAGAAATTCTTTGGTCATGCAAACTGATTGTTGCAGCAGCTGTCCGGGTGGCTGGTCTCAGACCATCTTGGAGGTGAAGATGCTGGATGTGGAGGTCCTGGGCCGGTGTGGTTACACATGGTCTGCGGTTGTGAGGCCGGTTGGATGTACTGTCAAATTCTCTGAAACGCCTTTGGAGACGGCTTATGGTAGAAAAATGAACATTCAATTCCCGGGCAACAGCTCTGGTGGACATTCCTGCAGTCAGCATGATAACTGTACGCTCCCTTAAAACTTGTGATCTATGGCATTGTGCTGTGTGATGGAACTGCACATTTAGGAGTGGCCTTTTATTGTGGCCAGCCTTAGGCCTTTTATTGTGGCCAGCCTAAGGCACACCTGTTCAATCCCCATGCTGTCTGATCAGCATCTTGATATGCCACACCTGTGAGGTGGATGGATTATCTCGGCAAAGGAGAAGTGCTCACTAACACAGATTTAGACAGATTTGAGAGAAATAGGCCTTTTGTGTACATAGAGTAAGTCTCAGATCTTTGAGTTCAGCTCATGATGAATGGGGGCAAAAACAAAAGTGTTGCATTTATAATTTTGTTCAGTGTATATATGTAAATTATAACTGATGTATTTCATGTTGTAGCATGTGGAGCTTCTATTATAAACTGTCTTGGTAGTTTCATCTGTAACACTTTCTCTTGTCAATCAATGAGGTGTATATAAAGTATACAGTTGTATAAAAAAGAATTGCTCAAATAAAGGGTCAAATACCTTGAAATTGTACTTCATGGAGTACTTCAACAACTGATAGTAACAAAATCTGAATAATTACTGCAGATTCAGGCACCTGCAGCAGGTGTGACTCACCTGTTTGACCTTGCTGAGCTCCTCCTCCAGCTGATGGTGAACTCTCTGAGACTCGATCAGCTGCTCCTGAAGAAGTATGGAGTCACCAGGAAATATGACTTGGCCTTTACTGTTTTTATTTTAACTTTTTAAAAAACACTGAAATTCAATTGATTGGGTGAGAAAAACATGACGTTATCTCGCTGGAAGTAAACATCCTGACACAGGTGTGTTTTACCTGAAGTCTCTTGATCTCCCTCAGAGCCTCGATGTGCTCCTTCCTCAGCCGCTCCATCTCCTCAAGGTCCTCCGAGTCCGACGGCGACGGCTGCACAAACACACAGTCATGTTTCCATCACTTTTGGGGACATTACATTGACTTACATTCAATCCCTGGAGACTCACCATAACCATAACCACTACTTGCCTAAACCTGACCCCTAACCTCTAACCTTAAACTGAATCTTCCCCCTAAAATTTAATGATTTACATAAAGGAGACCTGCATTTTGTCCCCATAAGGGAGGCGAGTCCCTACAATGTGTAAACAGATTTCTGACCCCACAACATTAGTAATACCCGACCAGTTGAAATATACATTTTTCAATACAGGTATTATTTTTAATTACCCTATGAATAAACCCTCTGAAACTTCAGCCGTTACTGTTTAAAGCTATTTATCTAAATAATAAATAAAATATTATTATTATCTGGCTTTAATGGACATTAAAGGGTTAAACAATGTTTCGGTTTCTTGTGCGTTTATAAATCCCTTTTAAAACGTAATTCTGAAGCAATGTCTACAGTCACCAGGACATCGACTTCAAGGACTTCTCAATAACTTTAAATCACATTTTTAAGTTCAGGTTACATTCGGTGCTGTTTTCTGTTCTCTATTACAGTCATTATCACCATATCTCATCTTTAGACTCAAACCAACAACCTGTCAAAAATCTGTAGCTCTCAGCTCCGAGCCCATTGGTTCCTGCTGAAGACTTCTCACAGATTTATAGTTTCATGTTTAAAAAGGCTCAGTAACTTCTTCAAACACTGTGGTTTCTATCACACAAACAGGAGGAAGTAGACCATCTGTTGGGGACTACTTTCAGCGGCGGATGAATCCACATGTGGTGCTGTAGTTCAGAGTCAGAATAACCTACAGTGTGTGTGTTCGTGGTGATGAAGGAACATGTGACCCGGCGCAGCAGTGAAGCTAACTGGTGGGTTTAATAGTTTCTACGGCTCAGCTGAAAAGGAGACTCAGGACTCGTCACTGCTGGTTTGGACCATGAGGTTTATCACGTTCTGTCCTGCTGTATCTCATTTCAGTATGAACAGCTGTTTCTGCTGCTTGTTGCCCTCAGGCTGCGATTGATTATCGGTCGGATGCCCGTGTGACTCTGGTGGTGTAGAAAATCTTTACAGCCGGCTGACAGGATGGGTCACGCGTCAACAGGTCGATGTTGGAGCGTCCACATTGAGCGGTCGGAACCGGCATACCAGAGCATCACACCAGCTAATGACCAAACACGAGGAGGACAGGGATCTGATCACACTCCTGCATGAGGACACTTTTATACTGTTATTTCTTTATATTCATTGAGTCTGATTCGTGTTGTTACAGTAAGAAAGAGTTTGTGAAACAGCATTTGTTTTTAAATATAGTTTAGCATTCCCTTCTTGTTCTAAATGACTGCACACCAACGTTTCAGTGCCTCAGCTGTTACTGTGAGAGTAATTTTATGTTTGCACAAATTACAAAAATATTCTGCTTTCTTTGTTCTTCTTGCAGTGCAGAACATAACAAGCTTTTGAGGGTTTCATGTATTGTTGCACCGCTTGTGCTGATGATAGCCAAGCAGAGATAAAGATGGAAGCTCAGAAGTCCAAATTTCACCAGTTTAAGGTGGAGTCAGCGAGTCTAATCCAACACATGTTTTTCATCAGATTCAGATAATATCTCTTGGCGGTCCGATAGCTGACCGCATTGTGTGTCTGCTGAAAAACAATCCGGTGTTTGTGCTCAGCCATGCCTCTGTAAATGGGAAACAAACAAAGTGGCGGACACCACCGCACAACACCGCTCCAGCCATGATGTTTGTGTCAGGTAACGTTAAACGACTCGCCTTTCATTCAGCTTGCTTTCTAGTTCACGAAAGCCTGCTGCTGTTTAAAGCTGTAACCATTAGTCAATCAATCGATTAGTTAAAACTATTAAATTAATCTCCAACTATTTTGACAATTGATTATTAGATTTGAGTCATTTTTTTAAAGAAAACACGTCCCAATTCTCTGATTTCAGCTTCTCACATGTGAATATTTTCTGGTTTCTTTGCTCCTCTGTGACAGTAAAACATAATTTATTTGAGTTGTGGACAAAACAAGACATTTGAGGACGTCGCCTTGAGCTTTGGGAAACACTGATCACTAACTGAACATTATTTACCATGTTCTCTCGTTTTGCTGGCTCTGGGACCGTCTCATCCTCTCTGCATGTTAGCTTCACAGCAGCAGCTTTAACAGCAGATTGCTGCCCCACAACTCAGTTAGCTACAAGACTCGCTGCGTCGTCGTTCGCTCTGCATGGTCCTTAACAAGCTCCTGGTTTTGGTTCAGACCTAAACTTCAGAGGTGGCAGATCACAGAACTAGCTGTTGTGTGATTCGCTGTTTTTGCTGTTCAGTGTGTTTTTAAGGGTCAATGCTGCTGTGAGTTTATACCAGCGGGTTTGTGGGCGACTCCAACAAACTGGACAGGTCATCAGATGTGAACCTCGACCCCGGCTGGGTGACGGTCAACTCCTCCAGCTGAGGCGTGAACAGCTCCCTGATCAGGCCCTCAAAATCTGTGAACACAGCGTACAAAACACAAGAACAAATATTCTGAATTCTAGTTTCATGGTTTTAGTATCTATTTCGGTTACTGACGCAGTTTAACGACAGATAAAGGTGGTCAAATAGGTCAAATAGGTCACACAAGGACTATTAGGCTTTAGCCTGCAGTCTGAATGCAGCCTTCGAGAGTTTAGATAACTTGAGAATTGGATGAATTTGCGTAAAAGTTGTAATACTGCAAGATAAAAATACTGCATTACAAGTCAAAGTCCTGCTTGTTGGTACGGAGTTTCTAAGCGGCTTGTTCAAATTAAAGTTTGGCTGCGCCCCTATCTCCTTATAATGGAGGAAGAGGCTGTAAAGAGGTCGCTGTGTTGTTTGTTAGTTATTGATTGGTTTTATGGATTATTCACAGGTGTTCCAGGCGTTGGTCAGGAAACGCTTTTTGTGACAGAAACACCTGAAGCTAACGAGAAAAGTCCTGACGGCTCAGGACTTGGGTTTATAACGGTACTGAAGGCTTAAAGGTTCAGTGTGGAATTTTTATTTATGAGATCTATTGACAGAAATGCAATATAATAACGACGTTTTCAGTGGTGTGTAAAGACCTTACATAACGAACCGTTTTTATTACCTTAGAATAAGACATTTCTATCTACAGACACCGCGGGTCCTCTTACGTGGACGTCACCATGTTGCGCCGCCATGTTTCTACAGTAACCCAAACGGACAAACCGCTACACAGAGCGCGTTTCGTCGCTACATTTATCTGCTCTGATAATGATAATCCAACACATCTTTGTAGTAGCGTCCATGTTGATTCCACATTCAGACTTAAGAGCACATGAACACACAGTGAAGTCGGAAGAACGACTTCACAACTCGGGAAGTGGGACCATACGAGGAGGTACTACTGGTGAGGGTTGTGAATTGCAACCAGCGTGCATTCACTTGCTCCTCGGATGATCCCATTTACCAAGTTGTGAAGTTGTTCTTCCGACTTAGTATTATCCAAGCACATAAACAACACGCAGACATCTAGTTCACTCTACATGGCAAAATAAACGCAATACTACAAATTACAAATTACATGTTTGCAAAATATGCAATATGTGATTTTGTACGAATCAAAGTTCTGTATACTTCTTTATGTCCCATGTAGACTTTATTTATATTTTTTCAATGAAGATTTAAGGAGGGAAATATTCTGATTATATTCTGACGCCACATGAATGCACCATCAGTCACCGCTCACCCCTCCAATTGCAAGCGAGCAGGAGAAGCTACGATGGCCGACACGCTCTTTCGGCTCTGAGCTAAATAATACGTGTGCTCCTGACTTTGTCCAAATTTCACTTCTCTTCTTGCTTCTAATAAACCAGACAACTACTACCACTACTACTACTACTAACGCTAACGTTAGCTGCTGTTGTTCTTCTTTGTACAAATTCAATGTAGATAGAAATGTCTCATTCTAAGGTAATAAAAACATAATGGTTCATTATACTGCAAGTACAACATGGAGGAAGTAGGACAGCTTTTGGGACTGAAGGGGTTAAGAGGAAAAACAAACTAAAAGTTACCGATGTTAATTCAGGGTTAGGGGGTTTTGTGATTTGAGTGTTGCAGTCTTACCCGTGAAGGCCACCGTCCCGGCTGGATCGGCTTGAAGTCTGGACCTGAGCGCCTGCTGCTGAGCCTCTGTGGGCTTCAGCCCGAGCAGATCCAGAGCCTGCACACACACACAGATCAATAATCAGCTCACAGTGGTGACGCCCTGAATGTATTCTGTCACTATCCAAATAAAACCCTGTATCTCCGCTTTAAGCTCCAGATGGAGATGAAATGTTTCATGAGCCTCAGCGTACAGAGAACATCCTCAGGAGCGACTGATCTGACAACGTGCGAGTTACTGGACTTGAAGATATGTGATTTGCAGCAGACAAAGGTCTGTGGACTGAGGTATTGTTAAGATGTTAAACTTTATTGTCCAGATTAAAATAAACATTTAATGTGTGCTGATTAATAGCTAAAAAGCCAATTTAATACATTAAAAATTAAACCTAAAACACAATAAAGAATTCAAACAGTTTGTTACTTTCGTTAACGCAGCATTTGGACTGTAGCTGCAGCTAATCATTATTTTCAGTACTGACTTAGTATTGAAAAATAAGTTACCTCAACTATTAAATATCAACATTGTTTTTTAATTTATTTTCTGTAAATCAACCAATTGATTAATTGACCGTGTCAACACTAATGAGTTCTCCAGGATCATGTTTCAGTGTTTCAGAGGACTGAAAGCTATAATTTAACAAATAAATGAGCGATAACAAAAACACCCACCTGCTCCACCCTCTCCAGTCTGAGGCGGCAGCTGGTGCTGAGGGAGCATCTCCTCTGAGGAGGCTGGCTGCTGACGGCCTCTGCAGACGGAGACACAGCCACACTTTCAAGAGTACGCTCATCTAACATTGTCGGACCGTGTACAAACAGAACAACATGACTGCAGACCATCAACTGGTTTTCACAGCACTGCACACATAAGACAGCAACAACATACAGTGATAGTTCACACTCAGACCAGTTCATTTTCAGTCTTTTTTTTGCTGTTAATGTGCTCTAAAAGTAAAAACAAGTTGGCCACTGCAGAGAATATTTCAACCTTTCAAGGGAAACTGGAGCAGTGATGATTAATCTTGGCAATATCTGACAAGGCCAATGAACTGTCTGCAGGCAGCCTTATCAGTGAGCTGCTGGTGAAGGATGTTAGCGCTACCTATTATGAGTTTTGGGAAGGTAGTGAAAAAGAGAGTTTGGAGCCCTAAACATCCTCAGTTACGTCATCTTTCCTAAACGTTAACATCTTGAATGACAGCAGCTCTAAACTAACAGCAGTACTGGCTGGAGTTAGAAATATATAGTTATACTGAATAGAGAGCTGGAAAGTAACAAATTATTAAATAAATTAATTGAGTAGTTGTTTGTAAGTATTTTTTTAATCTGTAATTTTACTTTTACTTAAGTATGTTTTGTTGTAAGTATTGTACTTTGCTACATTTTCAATCACATCCGTTACTGAGTCAAAGAAAAACTCGCGACCACTTTGACTTCAAGTGCAAGGAGACCAACAGCTTTATCATGATGCAGTGTGTGAAAAAATGTGCTAAAAATGCTGTATTAGTGTTCGTGCTAATGAAAACTGAACATTTCCTGCTGCTGCAGCATCACATTAAAAGCATTTAACTGGCGAAACCACATTTACTTTTATTTTGAAGTAGTCACAGGAAATGCAATCTGTGTGTAAGTGAGATCAGCGCTGACAGCTCTTATTCATCAAAAATGCGGCTACACAACAAGACAAACGTCATTTTCAACAGTTTTCTGACAGCGGAAATGTTGAAATGTTGCAGTGAGTAATGCAACAGTCAGCAGCAGCAGACACAGCGAGCTGTTAGATAAAGAGGGGTTAAGTGTCTTGCTCAGGGACACATGGTGGATGTGTCACAGCGGGGAATTGAACCCGGGTCTCTCACACCAAAGGCATGTATCTTCCTCCTGTACCTCATGTTGTCTGCAGCGAAAAGTCAGATCATGACTGCTGACATAATTATGGAGAATACCAGTAACTGCCCTGTGGCATTAAAATGCATCTGCTGTTACCATAGTAACTACAGGTATCTCATGCACAATAACGGCGCAGCTGCATAATAGCATCAAAACTGGTTGATTTGTAAATCATGCCAATCAGAGTTACATTTACAATAACTATCACTCCTCAGTGAACTCCTCGGCTGCAGGTCTTGTAGTTAAAGTAGGCCTGTCTAGATTTATCATTATGGATTTAGTCCTACCATGTTTTTAAGGACTCTCTTCACACTGATATAAGCTAATAAAAAATTACTTTTTGCAAAAGTTGAAAACATTAAACAGTAGGCAAATTTTTATATATTTATATTTCTATTTATTCATGTACTGTATTCATACCGAGGCAACTTCCTCATATGTGAAAATGTACCTGTGAAAATAAACCCGATTCTGATTCTGCTTACAACAAATGTAGTTGAGGACCCCTGAAGTAGAGGTCAGTGAAATAATAGCCAACTTCCATTGGTGGTTAAAAATAAGTTTTCATTGGCCAAAGAGACATCGGTGCATGACAATGTTGGTTGGCATTAGCAACGCTATACTATACTAACGCTTGTGACATTAAAATTACCACCTTTTTAATGTAAATAAGGACATGACTTCATTTACAGTCCAGTGCGGCCCGCCACAGTCTAATCTGTTTCACCGGTTTCTTAATGTAGCGAAAACATTCTCAAACTTCTCATTGTAACATTAAATGTCACTGTTTTTATCTGTCAAACAAACTGAAATTGAAAGCGCCACATGGCTTTATTCCCTTATCAAATCACAAAAGAGTGCAATTTAATTAAATAAGCTTATCCTGTGTAAATAAGCTTATCCTGTGTACAGGGTCACGGGGTAAATAAGATATTAAATCAATATAAATAAGTTATTTTAGGTGAGGTTAAAAAAGCGTTTACTCTGAGTAAATTTTAAATGAGCTACTTTTTACTTTTACTTGAGTAGATTTTTAAACAGGTAACTTTACTTGTCTTTAAGTAAAATTCATCAATGTAATCGTAGTTTTACTTAAGTAATATTTTTATACTCTTTCCACCTCTGACTGTAGAGAATAATGCAGCTGAATGACATCTGACAAACTGAATCCTGCTCTCCTTTAAACAGCAGCCACGCTCTGAAATCTACAGCAGAACCCAAAGAATGTTTCTGTTTCATTCATTAATAAAGCTTCCATCTGAAACATGTTACTGGCTGAGACAACATGTAGATTAGATTATATTCTGCAGGAATAATGATTTATACATGATGAATGTCCACGTTTTCACATCACCTTGCAGGGCAGGACTGTTTTTTACACCAGCCACACTTCACATGCAGATATATTCCACGTGTAGACGTGTGCAGAAATGTGGAGGAAGGAGTGTAAATGGGATGTGGTTCGTCAGACGCCTCCGTTATTTTCACCTTCACCGTGTTAAAGCTGAGCCAGTGCAGGTTAACACCTGTGCGTTAAGTGTCAACTGAAGGGTGGGGCAGATATTTAACGGAGCAAGAAATCTTCCAAACACTGTCTGGAGTCACAGGTAGTGCAGCTTGTGTCCTCCGTCCTGTGTGACTGATGAATTCAAGCATGTATTTCCTGTTTAGGTGAGAGCTGAGGTCAGAGAGTTCACCTGTGTTTATATTTGCCCCACAAAATCACACAAATGGCCAATAAAAGTGAAGCACAGAGCTTGGAAATGGAGACGCCACTAACCATCGCCTTGTTTGGTGGCTTTTAGGACCAGATATTACCGTCAGTTCACTTCTGAATGTTCTAATATTCAGCCACATTATCTAAATTAGTTGTAAATTACTTGTACAAGGTTAAACTCTTTTAAGCAAGTTAAGCTAACCCAAAATGTTAATCTGTCATTGCACTGAAACACAACCTCATTACGTACCATTGCTCCAAGTTGAGCCAGGAGGCCGCTACTCTTTCCGAAATAACTTTATTCTTTGGATTTGTTTTGTTTTGTGTGTTCTATTGTCTGACAGTTTGTGTCCTAAAGGACTTATTGAATAATGATCAATCCCTTTGTTATTTTTATAATAACTGATAAAGAAATCAACAGAAAGGGACACAAAACGACCACAAAGCGATGTCCGTCTGGTGGTAGACATTTCTCAATGATTCCCATTTAAACACTAAAATCCACTGCTTAACAAAGATTCCTCAAAACCGGTTTACGACTTTACTGTTGGAGGTTCCCTTTATTACTAAACGCCCTGAACAACCGCCGTCATTTTGGTCTTTGGGTGTGATGTCAGACGGCGAACACAGCGACGTGCATATGGAGAAAGCTCTCAGCGTCCCTCACACACACAGAGACGGGACGATGCTTCCCAACTCCTAAGCCAATCGTAGGCCAGACCTCCCGCCCGCCTCACTTCCTCCTCCAACAGGCAGCAAACCGCACGCCATCTGTCCCTCTCGCTGCCTCCTCTCCCGGCTGTCCTTTTATTCACACCTCCCAGCATACAGCAGCTCCTCTGCGCACACGCTCTGCAGTTATTGCTGATACAGAAGCAGATATGAATAGATGTATAGTTCCTGTGTCATGACCTCTGGCCTCTGATTGGCTGACGGCCCTTAAGACTGCAGATATGAGGAGCTTTTTTACTACAGAACTTGATGGCGCTTCTTTAGGTCGTCAGCAGGTAACTGAGAGCACAAACGATGTTGCAGGTGGTGAAGCTGTAGGGTTTCAGGCCAGATAAACCCACAGTGGTGATTTCTGCGACGGTATAACCGCAGCGACTGAAGAACCAGCTGTTTGCCTCCATCAGCCAATCAGCTCGTGTTCTCACAGCGGCAGCACTACGTTTGATTAGTTATTAGAGAATTACAGAAACATACCAGGGTGTGTTTCAGGGATGCTGTCGCTCTCTGCTGGGGAGGAGACCTGAGTCGGCTCGGTTCTGGCCGGAGACACTCGCACCTGCAAACATTAACACAACATATTAATATTGGTTTGATAAGAGTGCGTTCATGTGTGTCACAACCTCATCTCAGTGCAGAGAGATGCTGATCGACTCACTGATATTCCTGCTCTTCACCCCTCTGCTTTTCCCTACAGGTTCCAAGTGACATAATCAAAAAAAAATTCTGATGAAATCTTAAAGGAGACCTATTATGCTTTTCCACATTCGATGACTTATCTACAGTGTTATAATGTTGGATGTTCATGTTAAACATGGCCAAAGCTTCAAATAATGAGGCTTAAGCATTTATAAGAAATCCCTGTGAGCAGAAACCTCAGATTTCCTCCTGTTCTGAACGCTTTCAACGTTTTCAACAGCTTTTTCAACCATCGGCTCCGTAATACGACACACGGAGCCAGACGGAGCCGCTGTTCCTTATATGGTCATTTGCTCTGCACAGCAACGCTCAGTCTGTCTGTACCACTCAGCAACAGCCTGGTAACATTCTTCAGGTCTTGGCCAATCAGAAGACAGTTGGCTTTGAGAGGGGGGCCTTAAAGAGACAGGAGCATCCACAGCTTGTTTCAGACAGAGGCTGAAATGAAGGCCTACATGAAGAGCCAGTATAAGAAAGAAACTTACTTTTCTGAACTTTGAATCATGCAAAGCTGCTACAGGATCACAGAACTACAATGTAGGAGTTGTAAGTCCATTTGGTTTTAAGCCTGTTTGTCATTAGCCAGAATTAGCATCCCAGCTAATATCACGGTTAATGTGAATTACAGATGCGCATTGCTAGCCAAGCTAGCCAGCCCCAACATCTCATCCAAATATGGTCACATCTTGTTCCAAAAAACCAAGATGGCAACGGCCAAACTACCAAACTCTTTTACACAGGTAATGGTTTTAAAGAAAACAAGAGTGATGAAAATAATTTGGCTTTGAAAAGCAGTAAATCTTGACTTGTAATGTCTCAAATTAATCATATTTGGTTTAAACAAAGTTCATTCCAGACAAAACCAGTTCAGTCTCCCTCCTCGTGTGGACCTCAGGTCTGTACTGAAGCTCATACCTGACTGACGTTGACTGCTGGCAGAGTCTCACAGGCAGGGTTCCGGCTGGAGGTGATCTTGGTGACCACGGTGGGCTGAGGAGGCATTGCGCCCAGCCCCGGGGGCCTCATCTGGGGTCCAGTTCCGCCGCCAGACCCCTGGAGGGAGATGGGGCTGTGAGGCCCGCTGCTGGAGCTGGAGGATGATCTCCGCCTGATGAAGGCAATTTCCACCGTAGGGTCGGGTCTACAACACACAGGGCTGTTTTCAGATTTTTGGAATATGCAGCATTTATAAACATTTTAACTTCCATATTTACTGTAACATCTTCTTAGACAACGAGAGCATTGGCAGCTTCTGTAAGACTGAATTTCCCATTAACCCTCTGTGAAGGTTCTCAGTCACCCAGGTCATGGATAAGGAAGGTTCACCGACCACAAAAACTGTTCTTAATACAGCCAGGAGCACTAACGAAGCAGCGATCATCTTGATGAAGACCCCGCAGGGGTTAAATGGCTGAGTTTCCCAACCAGCCAGTCAGAACTGAGAAGAAGTCTCTCGAACGAGAGACGAAGTGTCTCAGAGTTTTCAACCAAGTCCAGCTACCCTTCAATTAATCTTCCTTGGATTCCCATGAACCCTGGGAACTAACCTATTACGTATTAGATACTGAATGAGCAATGTATATTTCTCACTCACTCTAAACTAATTACTTCTGAACCTATAAAATATAAACATCCATAACCATCCACATACACGGTATGAGGCCTCTTTCTAAATAAGGTTTTTGACTTTACACACAATCTTGATCACGCATTTATAAATAGCTATTCAATCAATCAATCAAGTTTTATTTAAAGAGCAAAATTTCCAAAAGACATGGTCCTAATAAACTTTAAAAAATAAATTGAAAAGAAAAAATAAGCCGTAAAATACAGAATGCATGTGATTTAACATAACATAAAATCAACAAACTAAAATAATAAAACCTATTTAATAACTTAAAATTAGCTCAACCCTGCCCTAAGTAAAAGTTTTATCAAACAGAAAATTCTTATGTCTGGCCTTAAAAGTGATTCCATAGTAAAGGCGCTTGATAACTAAATGCTATTGTCACATTTATTCCAGCAGCATCTTATTTTCAAGCCAAACTCCTCTGTTCGTGTTTCTTTTGTGTCTTGAATAATGTATTAACCCCTTAGAGAAAGTCTCCAGGTGTGCCGGACCTGAGCTTGGTGCGTGTCAGGATGCTCCTGGCCTCCTCGTACGTCACTCCGATCAGGGACTCTTTGTTGATGGACACCAGCTGGTCCCCAACCTGCAGCCTGCCGTCCTGAAACAGCACAAACACACAGAGACGTTCAGGTCCTGGTGCTCGAGGTGCCAGCGGAGGTACTGGGACTAAGAAAAACTGGGTTTTTTTGTGACTTTTGGGTTCAATCTTTTGTGTTTCTTAGAGCACAACATTTGGCTTTTTTAGTAAAAAAGTAGAACCCTTGTACAAAGGTTTGATTTTGACTGAGCCCACATGGAACACCAGCAATCTAAGGTTGATGAAATGACCTTTTTGAGACCAACAAGGCAGGAAAACCCAGAGTTTTGATGCGTTTGGCTTCAGGCTGGACAGACTAGAGAGTAGGCTAGGCGGTGTGACATATATACTGCGTAGACACGATGGGAGCTGACTGTCTCCCCTACCATTGCCTTAACAGGACCCCCCCATCCCCACCCACAGAAAAAAAGAAATTAAATTATTATTATTTACCTTATTTATGTGCTCTCATTTGATTTAAGCTCAGCTTTTGATTGAATCACACAATTTTGCTCTGCAGACAGAGCTGTTGTCTTAAAGGAGAGATTTAAAGTTAATTCATGACCTTGTTACCAGAAGTTTAACCTCACCACAAGGTCCATGGACGTTTTCACGCAAGCTAACATGCACAAGAGATCTGCTCAGAAATATGAGAATTTGAAACTACAAGTTCAGTTTTTTGGTGTAAATGTGAGTGTGAGTGGGTGTTTGTCTATGTGTGGCCCTGCGATGGACTGGCGACCTGTCCAGGGTGGACCCCGCCTTTCGCCCGATGTCGGCTGGGATTGGCTCCAGCCCCCCGCGACCCTGTACGCAGGATAAGCGGTCGACGATGGATGGATGGAGTTCAGCTTTTTTATGTAGTGTTGTAGTTCTCGAGACCGGTCTTAAGACCACTTTTTGATGGTCTTGGACTCATCTCGGACACTGAGGACTCGGGATTTTATTTCAAGACCAGTCAGACCGTAACTTTGGGAATATCAAGAAATTGCTTTTGCATTGTCTGTTTTATTTGTTAACATCCTAAATTTGATTGGATGTAAAACGTGTTGCTTCAAATCCAACCAATAACCCTAATTAAAAATGTGTTGTTCCACATTTTATTGTGTGTCATGTAATGTGGGGAACTGGTTTTGGTCTTGACTCAGTCTCAGCCCCTAAAAGTCTGTCTTGTCTGGTCTGGATAAACTCTGGTCTTGGTCTTGACTTGGTCTCGGTTTGGTCTTGACTACAACACTAGTTTCATGAACCTGTTCTTATTGTCAGACATGCATTTACATGTTACGCTGCAAAAACCAAATTAGGAATAAGCTCAAATTGCGTTTATATTTTTAATATTGTTTTAATATAGGAACAGCCTCTGATCATCGGGAGGCCAATTCGGACTCCGCCCAGTTGGAGTTTGGCCAAACATTAGCTGCTGTTTCCAAGGTCAAGAATTAACTTTCAATAAAGTTAAAGTTCTGACACAAAAACAATGTTACGATTAAGTCTGCAATGATGTTGCTTTTGCTGGATTTGTTTATCTTTTAATTAATAAATGATAAAGGTTGGGATGTGTACGTCGCACAATCCAAATGATTACAACACTTCTTTTTATTACAGCGCTCAGCTAGGACGCCGACCTTCTGGCAGTCTCCTCCAGGCACTATTTCCTGAATCAACACCATTGGTCCTTCTGCACGGTTAGCTCCGCCCTTGATGACCAGCCCCAGGCCTGTTCCCTTGGCCACGCATATCAACTGAATGACGCTGTCACTGGGGAGAGAGAGGTGGGAGAGAGAGAGGATGACACTAAGCATGATTAAAAACCACAAAGCTATGCTGCCGCTCACATTCAATCCCACCATGACATAATCTCTAACCCTCCTCCTCTTCCTCTCTCTAGCTCTCTCTCTGGTCCTCCTACACTTCTCTGTGAAATTGCTGAAGATGCTTTTCACTATTTTTAGCTGTTGCTGGTGTTTCCATGCTGCAGAAATACAATTTAACAGTTTTATGTAACAACCTTCTGAAAAGACCTTCAGAGAGCAGCTCTTTGTTTACTTCCTGTAGCTGCAGAGGGTTATAAGCGTTCGCAGCAGTAAATCATAACTCATTTATATGTTCCCAGTTTTCATTTTAAGGTGCCTCGTTTTTGCAGGAACATTCTGCACTCCTTTTTTGTAGGGTTGAATAGTTAAATAAAAGCTTTTAATATGTACCGATTATATTATATTATACAGGATCATTTGTTCTTCAGAGCTGCAGCACAATTTGGGATCTTGCCTTTCCTGAGAGGATAAATGAGGTCTGCTTTGATGCAGGAGTCTAAAAACTTTAATAGTATTTTATTATTATCATTAAATAAAGATACACTGCCGGTCAAAGGTTTTAGAACGACTTTTCTAGTTTGTATGTAAATCTATGTAGTTCAAGTCCAGTGAAAAACCTTAATTGGTACAAAAGTAAGCAGCAAACTGCCAAAGTTAAAAACACTTACATCACAAAAACAGACATTTTCAGATCTAAAATGAACAATTAAATGAAGGAGTTTTGTTCATTATTCATTGTAGGATCAACCGATGACCAGCTGTCTGTGGGAGCTTCAATTTAAGATTTGTGTCAACTAAAAGTTTAAATAAATCTAAGCCGCAGAGCTCTGATTGCCAACGTATAACATGTAATAACAAAAGGTGGTATTTAATTACATTTGTAGGCAGCATGCTATTAATGTGGTATTTTAAGTGAAGGAAACTGTAAATGCTGTAAAGTGTATGATTCATTATGCAACTTTATTTTAAACTTCAATTATTAATCTGTCACTTAAAGACGGAAATCTAAACATTGGATATTATTGGAAAATGACTGATTTTATTATTATTAGTTTACCTAAAAATTGTATTAGTTTATTAAATGACTCTAATCAAATGTCTCAAAAGTCTCGTTCTGGTGGGATCCGACTGGCTTCCAGGTAAGAAGTTATTTCCATAAAGGCTGAAATCTGCTGCCGCCGTGTGATTCCTGCCTACCTGAAGGCGTGCGAGGACGTGTGCATGGTGTAAGGGGGGGCGTGGGTGTAGGCTGTGACCCCCTCTTTAGGACTGAGGAGCTGGGGGCTCTCTGATCTGGAAGAGGAGGAGGAGGAGGCGGTGTCCGTCAGCTTCCCTGAACAGAGATGAAAGGAAGAAGAAGAAACCAGAGAGAGAGAGAGACAGAGAAGAAAGAGGGAGAGTGGAATAGAAAGTGAGGGAGGAGGTGGAGAAAAATGAAAACACAGGTTTAATCAGATCCATATTTTAATATTTGTAATCATAAATCTTCTGCTTGAATCAAAAGGTGTTGGAGTGAGAGAGGCGGAGAAATGGATGTGTGTTTGTGTCTCATTTCTATATGTGTGGGGACAAATCTGACTTTTGAACCTTGTGAGTGAGGACATTTCCCAAAGTAAAGACATTTTCATCTGTGACACAAGAGGACATACTGTTTGGAAAGTAAAGACACTTTGAGGATGTGGGGATGTTGTACGTCACAGGAGGACAATTTTATAAAATCTGAAAATGTCTAAAAAGATCAGGACACCTCTGAGAACATTTGTGCAGCCGGCACTTCATTAGCAATCACAGAGCACGGTTTTAAAAACTTCAACTCAGAGCAGGAATGCGCCCGTTTTTCTCCCCATCGTTCATTCGGGTGACAACAGAGGAAGGCTGAACTTTCATCAACATTGTTCTTGAAACGTTCAGCTGGCTAGAAAGTAAGTAGGTCTCACATCACCTGTCAGATAAACTGAAGGCCTAAACCCAAAATGCAGCGCTGACGTTAAAACAAACCGATGCTCAGCTGCTCGGCAGGACACACGACCCCCTGTACTTAGTGGTAATGTTTGTGAATAAAAGGCCTTAGGCTGGCCACAATAAAAGGCCTTAGGCTGGCCACAATAAAAGGCCACTCCAAAATGTCCAGTTCCATTTGACAGCACAATGCCACAGATGTCGCAAGTTTTAAGGGAGCGTGCAGTTGGCATGCTGATTGCAGGAATGTCCACCAGAGCGGTTGCCCGTGAAACGCTGTTTCACAGATATTTCCTGAGCTGACTGGTGGTTGTGTTCGTGACACAGGCGCCGATTGCCACAATACACGGCTTTCTGTTGTGCATTTTTCCTGTCCATCAAAGCCCGACGATTTCACCCACCACCACCAAGTTACCCGCGAGTGGCGGCTGCTACTTTCATTTCCTGTGTGACACTAAAGTTTATGTTGTGCAAGCTTCGGTGAAGCTTAAGGCCGTTGTACAACAAGAAGGCAAGGTGCAGCGTAACATGCAAAGTTGATGCAGGCTGGTTTACTCTCGCGTGTCATGTGACTAGAGTGTAATCGCAGCCTTTGCGATTAGAAAATCATAATTTTATTACATCGCGATAATATCACAAATGTAATTAACCGTTCAGCCCTAACTGCCAAATTCTCTGAAACGCCTTTGGAGACGGCTTATGGTAGAGCAATGAACATTCAATTCACGGGCAACCGCTCTGGTGGACATTCCTGCAGTCAGAATGCCAACTGCACGCTCCCTCAAAACTTGCGATATCTGTGGCATTGTGCTGTGAGATGGAACTGCACATTTTCGAGTGGCCTATTATTGTGGCCAGCCTAAGTCCTTTTATTGTGGCCAGCCTAAGTCCTTTTATTGTGGCCAGCCTGAGGCACACCTGTGCAATCCCCATGCTGTCTGATCAGCATCTTGATATGCCACACCTGTGAGGGGGATGGATTATATCGGCAAAGGAGAAGTGCTCACTAACACAGATTTTGGCAGATTTGTGAACAATATTTGAGAGAAATAGGCCTTATGTGTACATAGAGAAAGTCTTAGATCTTTGAGTTCAGCTCATGATGAATGGGGGCAAAAACAAAAGTGTTGCGTTTATAATTTTGTTCAGTGTATATCAAAATCCAATTTAGGTTAAAGTTAGTGAAAGTGTTTTTCTGTCACTGAGGACATTGATATAAATGTGTCTGCATGTTGTACCTGCGGAGAGCTGCGTGGGAGAGATTCGTCCTGAAGCTGCGACATTATTGGAGCCGTACTTCTCCATCAGCTCAGCAAACTCCCTCCTGAAGAACACAAACACACAAAGAAGTATTCAAATCCTTCACTTGAATAAAAGTATAGTAAAGATACTCAGTTACAAGTTCTGCATTTTAAAAAGAGTAGAGACGAAGTAGTAAACATGTTTTTTTACAGTAAAAGTATTTGTTTTAAAGAAACAGCTTTTCAGAAGTGTTGAATGTGTTTGACCTGTTATAAAATCATAGCCAGAGCTCGTCAGACTGTGAAGTGATTCTGTTGGAGAGGGCAAACTACAATATGAAGGGAAACCAGCCGAATAAACAATACATACAAACTGAATGTGTAGACTGAATTAGCATCATGAAGAAAGGAAACACAAGATCTGTCTGAGGTTTCTTTCCATCATCAGCTGATCACAAACTCTCCTCCTCTTTACAATCACTTTCTTTTTTTTCTTGGATAACTGTTCACTTTTACTGAACACAAGTCTGAGTGCAGAACACGTGACGGTGTGAGTTCACAGCGTGGTGTTTGTGGATGATCTGAAGCGAGCAGGCAGATCTGTGAGCGTTTGTCTCCCTCACATGGACGCAGAGGAAACCTGAGTTCCCGGATCGCTCACACCATCCCTGTCTGGTCAGGATGTTATCGGCTATTAATTTTAAACAGGACGTGCACAGAGCGAAAGCACAAAAGGTCAGGGGTAACACTGTTTTCTTGCTTAGATAGCAGCGTCTCATTTACAGTCATTCTTCAAGCACTATTTCTGAAACCAGTAACACTTGTCCTCAAATCATTTACCAAGTGTGCCAAACTCAGTGCAAATTTTTTATTTTTGTCTCTCTGCAAAACTTTAAACACAACTCACTGCTTTACACTCACTTTGCAATCCAATAACACACTTCTAAACTGTAAACATAACTATTTTTTGCTTCACCATTTTGCCAATTGACATTCCACATTGACACTTGATTATTAGTTCACATACCAATCAGAGCATGAGCACTATATGTAAACAGGCCACAGGTAAACATTTGGTTTGGGTTACAGTGGAGGCTTTAGAGGGGTGAGAATTAGAGGAGGGAGAGGAGGACACGGACGAGGAGGTGAAGAAGTAAGAGGAGGAGAGGACGAGATCAAGTAGGATGGGGTAGAAGGAAGAGGAAGGGGAGTCAGGAACATACGGCAATAACTGATGAAACATTCCACATTGTAAATAAAGTCATTGCAAATAACAGCATCACACTCAGAGAACTATTCTTTTGCAAGAGATGTATAATGTTTGGTTTTTTGGTGTAAAAATATGATATTTTCATCCTCGCCTGGTAAAAAAAACCCTATATTTTAATACAATAAGTCCATCAAAACCATCATAAGGTAGATTATAATGCACCTGAATATCTTCTAATACACCTAGAACACAACTGTAACTGTAAATTTGATGAAAAGAAATACATACAGTTATTACACAATCTTTCAAAAATACACCAGGCGAATGTCCATGTTTTGGCCATATTTACTGTTTATATGTTCACTTTTATTGGGAGTTTTCTTCAAACACTATTTCTCTCCACACAACCACGTTCCAAATAACATAAAGCTTCCAAAACATTGAAATATTGATAAAAACAGTCAATATTCCTGTGACCAAAAGCACTCCCATGCTTTACAGGCCACAGCTTGAGAACAGAATCCTACAGGGCCGATAAACCCTGCCGCTGCCAAAGCAAACTGTTCTTCTCTACTTCAATCTGACGACAGAAACAAAACTTATCGGCTCATCCTACCTCACCAAGATGGCGGCCCGCCAGATGGTCTCTGTTGACGCAAAGGACCGCTGTTTTTGGATGGAAAACAGCTAGAACAGCTAGAACAGCTAGAACAGCTAGAACAGCTAGAACAGCGAACATCGATTAGCTCCCCTGTATCAGGCAAGTCCGTTACCAAGTTAACTTTGGATATAAAGTGTGAAACACTACTTTCGATTCTTCTTCTATTCTATTCTATTTCTTGTTTCTGGTAAAACAGCTGACAGGCTCTTCAACAGAAAACATGTCTGACTTTGTTGTTTAATGCAGATTGATTAGACTGAGTGTCTTTTTCAAAATCTTGATCTTATTTAAAGAAACAGCTGCTCAGATAGAATATGCCCACATAGAAACCGGTGTCTTCAAAAGTTCCCATTCTGCTCATCTGGATTTTTAACAAAAGGTCTATCTAGTCTTACTCATAATTTTTTTTTGTCATAGAAGAAGACTCATGCTGTGTCTAAATTTGTGCCCTTCCATGCTTCCATTTACTATTTTGTGTGTGTAAGTAAACCGGATGAAAAACAAAAGTCTGATAGATGAGAAGTCTGAGGATCGACAAAGTTATTACAATTTATCCTGAGGGGAACATGAAGGACCAGTCTTTCAGTAGTTGTTCATATATTTCAGTCTAGACTAAAGTAGTGGACTGACATCCCTGAAAACAGTCACACATGAATAGTTACATTTCACAGCTGATAAACTGAAGACGTGAAACGTGCCCTTGAAAAGGTACATATCTGTAACCTGACTGTTTGCTCCTGAATGACCCTGGAGAATTTGATTGTTCACGTCTGGACAACAGCTTAAAAATTACATAAACTTCCAGAAGTTCCGGGCTCGACCCCATTCAGCATCCTGAACTCACAAATCTCCTTCAATAAGCTTAGACTCCACGTTTGACTTTCCGTTTTTATCCAGCGAACCTGTGAGGACACCAGAAACCAAATCCCTGATGATTTCATCACGGTGTCCTCGCCGTGACCCGCCGTCCCGCTTAGTGGCAGCTGCACATAATAATCATAATTTGTTGTAAGTGTAAAAAACAAATATCAGACGTGTGGGTACAAAGCTGCAATAACACACACACACACACACACACACACAGGTCTGGTTTTGTAATAATAAGGATGAAAATGAAAGGACTCCACTCTCTGCCAGAGGTGGGACGACCTTTTCTCTGCAGTCACAACAACACACTCGCTTCCTATCAAATGTTGTAAGCTGGAACTTTTTAAGCAGGTCGATCCTCAAATAACCTTCTGTTCCTCCCTGAATCAGTCCTACAGTTTCCTTCTAACGCCAAACCCATCACTCTTTGTTTTGTTTTTGTTTTTTTGTTTTTATAAAAATATGTAAAAAATACACTGTATGAATTATACAGGAGAGGTAAGAAACCCCCAAGGACTTATAGTGAATCATCCCCTCTGGATTTTCATTTGATATTACACAAAATTATTATAGAAAAATAATGACAATAATGATAAACGATTAAACACAACACACATAGTGAAATTTTAACCATGACGTATGTATTTTTTCATGCTTGACTTAAATACTAACAGTGATGGACAATGGTTGGATATGAATGGACAGTTAGTTAAAAACCAGTTATGAAATACTTTTGGTAGGCTATGATTTTGAACAATAAATTTGTACATAAAGATACATGTTTGATAGATACTGATGTTGAAAATGGATAAATGATTTAATTTCTTGACAGAGGAGCTGATGGTTCATACCGATGTGATGCAGTTGCCTGGCTTAAAAACCTTTTTTGGATCAAAACGATTTTTTGAAGATAAGAAGGATAATTATTGCCCCAAACAATGTTACAGTATGATATATGGATGCAATAAACTATAATAAAGAGTTAAAAGACAGGACTGATTTACCAATGAACAAGCTTTAAGACTGTGAACTGGCTGAAAGACTAGTTTAACACTCAGCTGCCACCAATACAGACTTTAGGATCAGTAAGAAGCATGTGACCGGTTACACACACTAAACGACAGGTAGTATTTCATTTTGATTTCCGGAGCTGGAGAAACAGATGAAAAAAGCCAAATTTAGAGTTTTGTTCCTTACTATTTCTTGGAGCCTGTCTGCTGCTCAGACCTAAGAAATAGTCTGACATGCAGCATCCTGTAAAACGAGGAATTACTGTTTTTACACTTTTTGAAAGGATTAAACCTACAAGGTCTAAGAAATAATGATCAGGGAGATTTAGAGGTGCAGGGAGGTGGATTATGGTTCCTTTGGACAGAGCCAGGCTAGCTGACTTCCTGCATATGTGTTTACAATTTTTTCAGTATTATTTATTTTTTCAGGGCAGATTGGATTTAAGTAACTATCAAAAAATTTCCTGACTATTTTTCGATTAACTGACAGATTGTTTCGTATCTGATGAACTTATTTCTGAGACTTAAAGGTTTTCATGGCGTACTAGGTGTTAATCAAACCCCTTTAAACACTGGTTACGGACTACCTTCATGTGATGTTTTTTTTATAAGAAAAGTGTCAGGACATAAAAACTGATCAGAAGAACATGAGGAGGAACTGAACACACGGGGACTGTTGATGTTGGTTAATAAAGGATTGACTGCTTCCTGCACTGACACTAAACGCTGTTATTGGACGTAAATCATGAGTCGGGGAATCGGAGAACATGCACGTAAATCTTTTAGAGGGAAGAAAGAAATTCTGGTGTAAATGTGGATGTTTGGAAGCACAAGTGGGATTGGTCACATTGGTTAAAAACCGGCTGCAGTCTGCCGAGCGTCCTGCAAAATGTACAACCTGGAAACTGAGTCTGCTTGCTGCTGTTTCTGCTGATATGTGTTGCTTTGCATCTCGGATCGGCCAGAGCTCTTTCCCTGCTGTCAGACAGCAGAGCGACCCTATTGTGTCACTGCGTGTTTGTCTCGATGTGGCAGGCTGACGTGGAAAAGCACAGGGGACAGCAGAGTGCCAAGTCAGCTTACCTCCTGCTGGTGAACCGCAGGGAGCTGCCCGTCAGCCGCACAGAGTTTATACCAAGGACAGATCCAAACACAGACATGGTTCATTTCAACAGGCAAGTCCAAGCTTGAGGTAATAAGACCTGCCTCTCCTCTGGACTCTAAAACATCAGCTGTTGTCTGGGTTGTTTCTGTCTGCATGACGTTTATCAGGTATATTAACATCACAAAAGATAATAAACAGCGATTTTAGGGAATTGTCCCTTCTTAAATGCATTGCGACACGGACGATTCTGAATTGATGAGCATGGAAGCATGTTTGCTTTTATGAAGTAGAAGGGAATAATTACCTGGATAAGACACACATTATATGCAAGTTGTGTCAAACTGGCAAAGTACCAAAAGTACCAAAACTTCTCCTGTCAAACGAGTATTGTATCCTTTTTGTAATCAAAAATAATTATTATTTGTATGATACATGCAAGCAACATGCCAAAAGGAAAAGACCCTCTTTTTTTCCTTGCTTGTGCCGCACGATGCTTGTAAGCCTCAGCATTGGCTGTGGTCTCAGGGACGATCGACATTGTTACAAGATTTATCACCATCCCTTTGTTTCATCATCTTTAACACCACTCTTTACATTTTTATTTGCAATTCGCATCACTTGTCACCGATCAATCTCTGCGTTGCATCACATCAATTCCTCAGCTGATTTTCTTCACGGAGCCTCCGGCTGCTCATATCAGATGTAGTCAGTATGGACAGTTATGTGCAGCTTTCTTCTTTAGAGTCTTTGGTGTAGTTTAGCTTCTTGTTCAAGCAGACTCCTCTCTCGTCTTCTACTTGGAGGAAGTTTGCGACTCACCACTAAAAGAAAAAGCACTCGCGATCTTTCAATTCAATTCTTCAAGATTTATAGACCCAAAGTTAACAGCAGATACAACAACTGTATCAAAATGTTAACTTCTTACTTGACATTTCCACCCCTACGCAGAAGTTTGTGCCTGGTTGAGTTGGAAAAGTTGGTGTGCCAAATCACATAATGGGATTTAATGAATGAATGCCAATAAAAATGAATGGACACAGGTTTTTCAAATAAATAATGATGTTGCTTCCACTGTCTCGCCAAAAACTAACAAAAATAGAAATAGAATAAAAGGACCATCGACGTACGGGTTGGTCTTCACTGGTCTAAAATCCATCGATACCTCAATAATCCAACACCACATACTGTGTGTGGGCAGAGGAGACAAATACATTCATTGTCAAGTAACAGTATCTGAGTTTGGAAGCTGCAGTGTAATTCCACTATGGACCAGAGCCAGCAGGACTCACCGAGTACGACTAGAACTTAAGCACCTTAATGTTCTTACTGTAATTGGACTAATTTAAGATGAATCAAAATCACGCATGATCATGATCCCTAGACACCGAGATGTGTCCTCAGTTAAACTCAGCAGCAACCAACAGGATGTGATCGGACATGTTGAACCAAAATGGACAGATTTTACACCCCAAAATGTTGTTTAATCATTTAACTTAAGAAAATAAAAAGATTAAAAGAAAAAAAGTAATGTAAGGAAAAAGGTGATGTTTATTTTAAAATTCCTACCTGGATTCATCATCTCTGGCGATCAGCAGGGACATGTGATTAGAGAGTGAGGCTGTCCTCAAGATCTCCACCGCCCTATTAGGAAACGGGACAGAGAGGTAACGTCATCAGCTGGTGTGTAACCTTTCATAATAATAATAATAATAATAATAATAATCTTTATTTGTTGAGCACTTTTCAAAAAACAAGTTACAAAGTGCTTTAAGAAGTGTAAAGACAATAATACTTTTTCGTACATACATACAGATTAAAGCTCAATCACAATTACTGTAGAAACATAAATGCACGAAGGGCACGAGGGCTCACTGTTGTTTGATGAGTGACGTACTGACCACTCGGAGGGCTTGGTGAACTACCAAAGCTAACACGCTAGCAAGCTGGGAACATGCTGTGTCAGTCAGTCAAAATATCTCTTTATATTCTGTCTACGCTGAGCCGTTTACTCCCCCTGACATTTTGTTCTTAGGATTGTTCTTCATTTCATTTAATAAAGAAGTTACAAAAGAGGGACAAGCTGTCAGTTCACACAGTTAAAAAGCTATATTAGTACGATGTCTTCAAGTCTGTAAACCAGGTCTCTGTTAAGGAGCAGTTTATACTATGACAGGAGGAGCTTCAGTAAACCTGCCAGGTTTAATAAGCTATGGTCACTTCTTCGATTTTGGACTCTGCAGCTCTCTGTTCACTTAAAGTTTGCTATTGGTCAAAAAACGTGTCAAAGTTGAGCCAGACACAAATGATTTACAAAGACGTATTTGTCCTGATAAAAGCTGATTAACTGATTGTGGCAATTCCATCGAAATGAATTGATTTCCCTTTTAAAATGCTGGTGCGACCGAGCCATGCAACACAACTGGTCACCAGACTCATGATAAATTATGCACCCCAACGCTGACTTGAGTGGTCCTGATTCTTATCACATCTCAAACCACGTCTGTCCCCATAACAGAGCTGAATCTGGAGACCATATGTGCAGCTTTAGGTCCTTTGGTGTCAATACCCAGGCTATACCTGTCAACCCTCCTGTTCTATCCCGGGATTCTCCCGTTTTAACCTTTCGACAAATAAAAACCTGTGTGAAACTGTGTGAAATTGAAATGTGTGCTTTTCCCCCTCCAGTAAAGCAGGTGGCAGTATGTATAACATTAACTGTAGCAGTGAGGGAAGTCAGCAGCAATAAAACAACAACAACAACAACAACAACAACAGCACAAGGGATTAAGGGTGAATGATGCAGTGTGTGAACTGGAAAAATGATTTACGATGTGCGAGTAAAGACAGTAATTCTGCATTCTGCATGAATGGTTATTATGATTATTGACAAGTTAGTGCTTAACATTAGTAAATTAGAGACCAATACTGTGCTTCTTGCACAAGGATATAATGAATAAAAACAACTCGCAAAAATGAAGCTGTAACTGGAATAAATATTAGGCTTAGTGGTAAACTACATATGAAAATATAATAAATATGGTAACTAAATGTATACCGTAATGTAAGCATTACTAAATCATATTAAATGGCTAATCCTTGAAGTTAGCATCTCAGAACATGTGTTAATTATAGCTAAACACTGCGTATTGCTTACGATGATGGGATGGAATTAGTTGTGCAGGTATTTGGTCTGAAGCCAAAATGTTGGACACATTAACATGTTGATCTGATGGTGGCGCTAGATGAAAAGTCAGAGGATCACCACTTAGAACCACAAATGCCACGCAGAGAAAATACTTATCAAGTAAGTGAAAACTTTGACTGTCTAGTGTTTCTAAAAGAAAAGTTAAAATTCATCCTCTCTGGATCATGAATGTCTGAACCAAATTTCATGGCATCAATCAATTATCTCATAGTTGTTGAGATATTTGAGTCTGACCCTGCGATCCCTAGAGCCCTGCTGCTGGCATGGCTAAGCATTTTAATTACCCCTTACCTTAAAATACCTGTGCAAACACACACACAAACACACTCATTAATGTAGTGCAGACAGCACACGTCAAACTCACCTCTCATTGGTCACCCCTATCAGACTGATGTTATTGACATCCAAAATCAGGTCACCTGACTTAAGCCGACCTGGAACACAGAGTGACAATCAGACAGAGGCTGGTGAGCGAGGATAATAATAATAATAATAATAATAATAATAATAATAATAATATAATAATAATAATAATAATAATAATAATAACTGCCTGTATTTTTCTTGTAAAAGAAAAATACAAAAAAAGCTACCTACCGTCCATAGCCGCCAACCCACCGCCTATCACCCTCTTGATGTAGATACCAAACTCTTCTCCCGTCAGCTCTCGGTAACCCCCGATTATCTTCACACCTGTACACGCATACAGACGAGCTCAGGTCAGTCAGGAAACTTCTGTTGAAGCTGGACAAACTGCCTGAACTCAAATGCAAAACAAATGATCTGTGGATGCTTTTGACACAGCTGTCCGGTGCTCACTGAGCTGCAGTTTAGAGACATGTGAGATTATATTAACAATGATTCAGAGGTCAGAGAAGTCAGGGGGAAGATGCTCACCGAGTCCCTTCTTGCAGTCGCAGAACTCCAGCCTCTGTACGGCTCGGCTGATGCCATGCGGGCCCATGATCGTCCTGACAACAAGCAAAAACACCACAGATTCAAAAACATACCATCATCCTGCCTCATCCAAAGCCCCACTCTCTCTCTCTCTCTCTCTCTCTCTCTCGCTCTCCTCTGTGCTTCGCTGCACAAAATAATCAAATCATCACTGGATTTTGTCATTTCTCCCACATACCCCCCCCCACCCAGCCACATCCTGACCAATAAAATCTGTCGTCTCTTCAACGGCACGGCGGTTGAACTGTGCGGTGACCTGGATGTCAGCAAGCCCCGATACAAACAGTACAGACAATCAAAGCAACAATAAACAGCAGTCATTATATCCTCGACACAGAGACTCCTCAGACGTGGTTAACATGGTCCTGCTGTCTGCTGGTCTGGTGCCGAGGCTCAGCTCACCGTCAGAGCAGAATGTGTTTCAGATGCTTACGTCTGTGTCTGTGTCAAAGTGTGTGTGTAGAGACAGCATCTTCTGTCGTGGACTTCACAGGGCCGGCCCGAGAGTTTCTGGGGGCCTTGAGGAGAACTTGATTTCCCTCCATAGCTATGCTTTGTCACATCTTTAGGCATCTGGTACCAATGCACATGGCAGCCTTTTGCATCATTGTTCACACAGCACTGAGGGAAGCCCTTTAGTGCTATTGTTCAGCCCTAAAAGTACTACTACAAATAACAGAAAAGTCAGATTAAGGAGGTGGACAGGTGGGACAAAAAACGGACTTTCACCAGGAGATTGGTGTTCATTTCCCGTGTGAAACAAAAAGTCAACATTGGTTTCTTTGAGTGCTGTTATATAACTTATGTAAGTAACATTATTTAACTTCCGTAATTAAAGCCACGTAAGTAACAGTTATTTTAACCCAAACCATGATCTTTTCCTAAACCTTAGCCAGTAGTTCTGGTGCCTAAACCTAACCAAACTGCTACATTCTGAAACATTAACCAGTAATTTTATTTTGAAACTTATTCTGCAGTTCTTGCTAAAGTGACTGCGGAGCTCTACACGTACAAAAACAATACTAAAGGGCAAAAAGCGTTGCCAAGGCGTTTTGACAAAGCATCTATATGTGATGCCCTGGGATTATAGAAAGGGTTGTTGTTGTCTAACACAACTTTATAATGGGGGTGATGGCGCATAGATGAGATGCTTGCCTTTGGTGTGAGAGACCCGGGTTCCACCATTGTGTCCCTGAACAAGACACTTAACCCCTCGTTGCTCCAGAGGCGTGCAACCTCTGACATGTATAGCAATTGTAAGTCGCTTTGGATAAAAAGCGTCAGCTAAAATGAATAAATGTAATGTATAACGCCACGAGACGGTGAAAGTCAACTTTATTGTCAATTCTGCCATATGCACAGGACATAGACAGGTTTAAGATGCCATTTTTTACAGTCCTCCAGTGTAAAACAGTTTAAGTACAAGAGTATAAATAATGTAAAACTAAATGAGTACTAAAATAAAGGTACCCTTGAAATATTTGCACACGTGTGCATTAATGTCATTAACAACGTGCTGCAACGTCATTAAACAGCAGATTGTTTGTAGCTCAGATGATGCAAAGTATGTCCTTCATAACCAAACACCAAGTATATAATTAAGGATAAAATTATGAGTCATTAGCAAACTTTTAACTGTTTAAAACATTGGTTACTTTAAAACTAACCTTCATCTGGGTGATAGATTAGAATAGAATTAGAGTTTTATCATCCAGCCAAGGCTGGAAAATCCTCTTTGGTCTCATCAGACCTATAAAAACAGCACTAGTCTATATCAACATATATAGATATATAAAAACATATACAAACATCCTATTAAATCAATGCTCCACATCTCCGCACATCACAGCACTCCAGTTAATACCACATACAGTGTAAAATGCACTTTCTATCCAGAGAGGTATAGGTGTAAAAGATGGCTTGTAGCTCTTTTTATTTGCCACAGGCACTCTGTTTGGTCGCCCTGAAGGTAGCAGCTCAATCTCAGTATGGAGGAGGTGTCTGCTGTCACCAACGATGGACAGAGCTTTCCTATGTAGAGCTGTACTATAAAAGTCATCCAGGGACTTTTGTTGCTGGCCTGTTATCTTTCCTGCTGCTTTGACAATCGTGGCCAGCTTGTTTTTGTTTCTAGGTGTTAGATTTCTAAACCAGACAGAGATATTAAATACGAGAACAATCAGGCGGACAGTGTTCTGGTGAAGGGATCGATCATACAGGCCAAAGTGATTTCATGGTACCTTGGGGAAGTATTTTTAGTATTTTTTAATACAAAAATACAGTAGTTTATTTGGATACACTTAAATTAGACTATTTGGTATCTTATTTTAAAATACACTTTGATGTATGTTTTCCCATCCCTGGTGACAGTCACAGGTAGAGTAAGAAATAGTTTAATAGCCGTGGCTACATCAAGCACACATGATAACGTGGACTGGCGCTTTATAAATATCCCGGCGGGGGGCCTGTTTGGACTGTGGGGCCCGCCCCACCTTGCTGGGTTTGCGGTGGTATACCTTACGGGCCAGACTGTACCAGCTCAGTATAACTAGGAGAGCCAAAAGCACGACTCTGACCCTGCAGGCAAAGGTAAAAGTTCAGTTTTACTCATGGCCTGAAACAGTCAGAGGTCAAAACCAAGCAGGCTACTAAGACGAGGCCAACTTATCCAGTTAGGGGTTCAAAGAGGCAGGGATCAGGCAGAGATTACGGCTAAGTAGCAAGCACATTAGATGATCTGGCGGAGAATGAATGGGCCGGTGTATACACTGCCAGGCTAATGGGGAACAGGTGTACAGGTGATGTGGAATGGCGGGAACGAAGGGGTTATGTGCTATGCTTTTGGTATTGTTGACTTGAAACTTGCATTTTAAGCTCTAGCCAACTCTTCTCACTCCTGTCCGATTGAGTCACTCCCTCCTGGCCTGCTTGGTGTCCACCTGGCCTGCCTGTTCAACTTTGCCTGCTGATCTCCTGCCTGCCCATCAAACTTTTGCCCCTCAGCCTGACCCCCTTGTGGAAAAGTCTGCATGTTTTCTTTTTCTCTCTCTTTTCTCTGCTGAGCCAGTGCAGATTTAATGTCTTTGGGGGATTATTTCCACAACAGAATCCTGCTCAGATTATTTGAGCGCGCCCTCAAAGTATATAACCAATTGCTATAAATCCTTAATTTAAAGTGAGCATATCTAACCGAAGCATATTGTAGCTTTGTGCTGAATCTGTATTCTAAATCTGCAAAGCAACGCATTTCTCCAGCCATCAGATAAATGTTGTAAAAGACTAATGTAACAAGTACAGTATCAGAATCTCTGATGTGGAGGAGACGAGCTCAGTCCCTTCACATCTGTCACTAAAATCCGGAAAACATGGAGCTGAGCTTGGGACGGTTGCCCTGATGTCATCTTGGTCATTTTCTTCTTTTGTTTTAATTTCCAGCACTCTGTGAGGCTGCGCTGCTCTCAGGACCAGGTCACGTACAGTGTGTTATGTAAGGGATAATGTACAGTGAAGTGGATGAATAAAGATGCCAAGGTGAAGCGGAGGTCGCTCTGATCTCTCTGAAGAGGCTTATTTTGATCTTAACACAAAGGCTGCAACCACATATATCACATGAATACACATGATTAGACACAAACCGCGGATTTAAACTGTTAAGCAAAGAAATCCGACAAGCTGAAGCTTCTAAAGTCAGAAGCAAGATTTTCTCCCTGAGGTGGATGTCATCATTGTTTTCCTTTTCTAAGACCATTTCTATGAACATGTTTTTGCTGGTGGTAGTGATAGATTTACATCTGTGGGGCATCAGTATGCTTCAAACAAAGTGCTTGTTGGATCATCCAACAGCACCTTTTCAGTGTTATAATTTGAGGAGCTTTGACAAACCAATAAACCGACTTTCATGTTAACTTCAAGGAGGAGTAAATGTAGGCAAGGATTTAACTCCATCACGCTCTCTTCTTTTATTCTTCACGCCACAGAGTGCAGAGAAAGTGCGCTCTGTTAAGGCAGGCGTCAGCTTGAAAGGAACTATTTTGTACAAAGAGTCATCCAAACACATATAGAGTGTCACAAGATTGGTTTTGTTTACACGCAGCCACATCTCTGTTGGCCTGACCACAAATCAATGTCACATGGTTTTCATTCTTTACCAAAGTGCTGTCAATGGAGCCACGTGGTGCATAAACATCCACGTTACAGTATTTATACAGTTGGTCCTCAGTGGTCCAGATTTTGGAAAATGGGTCAATATACAGCCAACACAACAAAGGAGATCCAAACCGACAGACTAAACTATGGTATATTTACTGAAGTGCAGTACTGCGTTGTGGTAATTGAGTATTTTCTTTTCATGCCCTTTTATATTTACATGCCACACAGGAAATATTGTACTTTTTTACTCCACTGTATTTATCAGACAACTTTTCAGATTTAAGTTTTACATAAAAATATGATCAGTTTATAAAATACAACATACTGCAGCAATACAAAGAGACCCAAGCACACCTGATTAGACAACCCGTTCTCACTCCCAAGACGTCACTTGTGGCCACAATGGTCAAGACCCCTTGGCGTTGGTTTGTAACGCACCGGGGGTGTAGCCCTGTAGCTTTGTATTTCAACACTAATGGTAGGTGCAGCATATTTAATAGAAAAGTCTGAGTAAGAAAGTGGTTGGGACAGACGGTGGGCCAGAAACCGGACTTTTACCGCGGAGACCATTGTTTGTATCCCGTGTGAAACAAAAAGCACTGAATGTTTTTATTTAAGTTACGTAGGCTGGGTAAGTTCCGCCAGTCACTACTTTTACTTGACTTACATCACCTAAGTGACGTACACCGTTGTTAGTTTTAGCCAAACCATTTTTTTCTAATCCTAACCAAATAGTTTTATTGCCCAAGCCTAACCACACGCTTATTTATTGTTGCTAACTTCACCACGGAGCCATGTGACGAGTTGGGATGAGAATGTGTTGGATTACACAGGGTTTCTTTTGGTCCCTTGGATGGGAGGAACT